ACCACTACGTCGCACAGTTGAAGTAGTATTTCTGACGTTTGGATGGGTTTTCGACGCAAGACCCTTCTCCTGGAAAGGTCTTTGGCATCTTGCACCCCTTTGTCTATACATGTAGAGTCGGGTATCGAGTTCTGTAAACACTACGAAGTGAATCCGCTGACCATGATATACTCGGGCTCTATCGCAGTTCGTTTCTCCTGTTTTTGTTGTTGGAATGAGTCTATTGAGATATTATTTCCTACAGGTTTTCTGTTTTTTCACAATGGCGAGCTTGCTCAGGGGGCAATGGGCGTAATGCCTTCATTACTGCCAGGACCTCGGGTGAGGTGAGGCGGTTCCCCCAAAGGCAGTGCGGCTGGCCAGCTGAGCGATTTCGACGTCGTCGGTGTGTGCGTACGACTTGTACGCATCGCTGCGCCATCGGCCATACTTCTGGATGGGCAGATCCGTCGCGCCGCCCTTGAAGAGTGCGGTGGTTCCCCCACTCCGCAACGAGTGGGTGGAGTAAGCTTATGGGTCCTTGTCCATTCTTCTCGCCGTGTCGCGTAGGAGTGCCTTGACTTGGCTCTCGTTGATCGCGGCTCTGCTTCGTCCGGTGCGATCGTGGTGCATAGCGGCTCGTTGGCCTTGACCCCGGCTGCGACCGCGATGCGCCGCAGCTCCCAGATAGCTGGGATGGGGCAGAGCCAAGAGCTACCAGGCCGGGATAGTCGCAAGGTCACACCGCCGCGCCGTTGGTCCGTCTTCGAGCTCGACAGCTTGATGTGGACCTCGTGCACTTGATCTTCGGACGTCGCCACCTCCTCGAAGGCCGTCGTGAAGCGGATATCTCTTACGCAGAGACCGTGCTTCGCGGGTTTGGGCCCTTCGTGGAGGTACTCGGACTTCCGCAAGAGAAAGAAGAAGCCCAGGAGCGTAGCCCCCCAGAGTGAGCGCTGCTGGGGGTCGTCGAAATCGAGTCCGGCACGCAAATGCCAGAGCATTGCCGCTGTGACGGGCTCCATTCATCGGGTGGCTCCGTCGTCTCGTTCCATCCCTCGGAGAACAGTCCCGAGGCGTCGTCGTCGCTCTCTTCGACTTCCGAGTCGCTGGACTCCGGCTGGTCGCTTTCGGGGCCGTCGTCAAGTTCGTCGTCGTCCAGGTCACCGAAGCGAGGATCTTCCCAGTACTGGTCGCCAACCGAGCCATCTTCCGGCGCCTTGCGACCTTCGACCGAGTAGAAGAGATGGTCGACGACGCGTTGCGCCGACACTCGGGTCTTTTTCCCGGTCGCCGGCGATACCAAATCGACCGTTGCAGGCGCCCCCTCGCCTTCCGGCATGATCTTTGCCAGGACGAAGGCCAAGTCGCGTGAGCCGTTGGCCGGGTCCTTGATGCGCTTCACGATGCGGGCGTGGGTGCGCCGAGCTCGCTCCATCAATTTCTCGGCTTCCTCTGCCGGCGCCAGTGACACGTCGAACTCCCAGAGGAGGATTGCGCTGACGGGGCTGATGCTCTCGACCGCTTCGGCTGGTACCGTTACGCGTTGGTGAGCACACACCACCGTGAACATCTCGTCCTCGACGTGGACCGCTTGCACTTGACCGGCGAAGGCGCGTCCTTCGTGCGCGAGAAAACAAACTGGCGCAGCCAGACACCAAGGGGCTTTGTCGTCGCCTCCTTCGCCGTCACGATCTGGAGCTCGCAATCCGTCCTCGGGACCTCAAACTCCATGGCAGCAGCCGCGTCCGTCGCGATCGTTTGACACTTGAGCGTCTGCTGGCCGCGATTGCCTGCTCCTGCCGTGACCCGAGCGTACACTGGACAGCGTACTTGCGTCCCAGGCACTTGCTTGGGAAGGACAAAGAGGTAGGTCTTGGCCTTGTACGTGGGCGGAGCCATACGTACTGCTTGCTTAGTAGGAGTCGAGATCTAAAATGCTAGCTCTACGATGGTTCGCAAGATACGTCCCTTCGTGAAAAGGTCGTTTCGACTTCCTACGCGCGCAAAACACCCATTTGTGTCACACGGTGGCGTAGAGAGGCGTAGAGAGGCTGTTGTGTATGTACGCCACGGTGCTCGAGGATGCGGTAGTAAGTTTGTAGAAGGGTCTATAAACACTTTGTTGTGGACCGTCAAAAAATGAGGCGTGGCGGGTTGCTTAGCGGAGATCGGAAACTAGAATGCTAGGCTCTGGCCACCAGTCATTGGTTTCACTGAGCCGCCTTCTCT